CTGTTTTGGCCTCTCCTTTCTCTCTTTCTCTCCACAGATCCCTCTCTGCCTCTCCCTTCCCTGTTCACTGTTCTACGGCCACTAATGGTAGAGCGCATTCCCCATTGCTTCCCCATTCGCTAGGTAAGCTTTCATGGCTTACTCTCTTTCTACAGTGATATTCAATTGTTGTTGATAGCTACCTTTGAGTCAGCCTCCAACTCATGGTGACCCCATGTATTACAGAGTAGAACTGTTCGATAGGATTTCCTTGGCTGTGATCTTTATGAAAGCAGATTGCCAGGCCTTTCTTCTGTGGAGCCACTGGTTGGGTTCAAGGCACCAACCTTTAGGTTAGCAGCTGATCATGAACTGCTTGCACCACCCAGGCTCCTGATAATTCAATTAAAGCGCTTAAAAAACTTAAATAGTGTGATAATTTAAGTACTCAAATAGTGTGATAATTCAGTTTCCTACACCAACTACTCTTTCTAATTTCAAACAGGGCCAGAAAGTCCATGAGAAGGGTTGTTCCAAAAATGTTTATAGCCAGCACTCCAAGAAGAGATGCTCTTTGCCTGCGCCCAGTGTCCATTTCCCTCAGCGGTGGAAAACCAGGCTAAAGATAAAGTAGCCGTTGTCACTTTGTGATTGCAGAGGTGTCCAGAAAAGAATGCACTGAGTTTGTGATTCATTTTCTCCTCTTTCCCTGGAAAGCCAGGGAAGAACATTTTGGTGGGGGTAATTACGACGTTTAAAAAACTTGGGAAGAAGGGAGTTTAATTACTTATTCATGGGGAGAGCACCCAGACAGGAGAGTCTGAAGAGTTAGATATGAAACAGAAGTCTCCCAGTCAGTTGCTAATGCTCAAATCTGAAAACCGTGACTCTGATTATAAAACATCAAAAAGCTCACATTAGGACAAGGCAGTCAAATGGGATTTTTCTGTCTTTGAAGTGATCCCTTTATCTGTAGTTGATTCTTGCCTTTCCACTCTGCCAAATATCAAGGGCTTTGTTTCAACAAGTCTGTCACCCGTAGGAGGGACTTCCTATCACACACTTTTCTGCATAAATAGTTTTTTTTGCTAAAATACCTGCTGTATAACTGTGGTTCCAGAACACTGAATTGTGCTCATGGGGAACCTGTACATAGATCAAGAGGCAGTCATTCAAACAGAACAAGGGGGTACTGCATGGTTTAAAGTCAGGAAAGGTATGCGTCAGGGTTGTATCCTTTCACCATACCCATTCAATCTGTATGCTGAGCAAAAAATCAGAAAAGATGGACTATATGAAGAAAAATGGGGCATATGGATTGGAGACAGACTCATTAACAACCTGTGTTATGCAGATGACACAACGTTGCTTGCTGAAAGTGAAGAGGACTTTAAGCACTTACTGATGAAGATCAAAGACCACAGCCTTCAGTATGGATTACACCTCAACAAAAAGAAAACAAAAATCCTCACAACTGGACCAATAAGCAACATCATGATAAACAGAGAAAATATTGAAGTTGTCAAAGATTTCATTTTACTTGGAGCCACAATCAACACCCATGGAAGCAACAGTCAAGAAATCAAAAGACACATTGCATTGGGCAAATCTGCTGCAAAAGACTTTTTCAAAGTGTTGAAAAGCAAAGATGTCACCTTGAAGACTAAGGTGTGCCTGACCCAAGCCATGGTGTTTTCAATCACCTCCTATGCATGTGAAAGCTGGACGATGAATAAAGAAGACTGAAGAAGAATTGATGCCTTTGAATTATGGTGTTGGTGAAGAATATTGAATATACCACGGGCTGCCAAAAGAACAAACAAATCTGTCTTTGAAGAAGTCCAACCAGAATGCTCCTTAGAAGCAAGGATGGTGAGACTATGTCTCACGTACTTTGGACATATTGTCAGGAGGGACCAGTCCCTGGAGAAGGACATCATGCTTGGAAAAGTTCAGGGTCAGTGAAAAAGAAAGACCCTCAATGAGATGGATGGACACAGTGGCTGCAACAATGGGTTTAAGCATACCAACGATTGTGAGGATGGCGCAGGACTGGATAGTGTTGCGTTCTGTTGTACATAGGGTCACTATAAGTTGGAACCGACTCAATGGCACCTAACAACAACAACAACAACATAACTGTGGTAGGCAGAATAATAGCCCCCAACGAAGTTCATGTCCTAATCCTCGGAACCTGTGAATATGTTATGCTACATACAAAAGAAAAAAAAGAAACCCCAAACCCCTTGCCGTGGAGTCAATTCCAACTCCATAATGACCCTATAGGACAGAACAGAACTGTCCCACAGGGTTTCCAAGGAGCGAATGGTGGATTTGAACTGCCAACCTTTCGGTTAGCAGCCTAGCTCTTAACCATTGTGGCATCAGGGCTCCCCAAGGGGTGAATTAAGACCGCAAATGGAATTAAGGTTGCTAATCAACTAATCAGAAGCCAAAGCGGAGCAACGGTTAAGTGCTTGGCTGCTCACTGAAAGGTCTGCAGTTCAAACCCACCAGCTGCTCCACAGGAGAAAAGATCTGATGATCTATTCCCATAAAGATCACAGCCTAGGAAACCCTATGGGGACAGTTCTACTCTGCCCCATAGGGTCGCCATAAGTCGGGCTCAACTTGATGGTTTGGTTTTTGGTTTGAGATGCATTTTGGATTTCTGACCTCCAGAACTGTAAGATGATAAGTTTGGCTGTTTTAAGCCACCAAGTTGGTGGTAATTTGTTACAGCAGCGATAGAGAACTAATACAATCACTGTTTACAAAAGATGGGAAGAAAAAGACCGTAATTAATTTTTATTATCTTGCTTAAAAACACAGGAGGCCTAGCGGTGCAGTGGTTAAGAGCTTGGCAATAACCAAAAAGGTTGGCAGTTCGAATCCACCAGCTGCTCCTTGGAAACCCTGTGGGGCAGTTCTACTCTGTCCTATAGGGTTCCTGTGAGTTGGAATTGACTTGATGGCAACGGGTTTGGTTTTTTGGTTTTGCTTAAAACACCAGTCTGAACCGAGAACTTCCTAAATTAAAAGCGCTAATTCTCCTGAAGTCTGCCATGACTCCTGGGTGTGACTCTGGGAGGCTGCTGCCCCCATCAAATCTCAGGGACTATGGCCACTGCAAGGGGCTATCAGAAACTAAGATGCTTCCAGGCAACTTGGGACCCTTCTCAAAGGATGACTATTACTTGCTTTCCTGATATCATTTCCAAACAGAATAATCATGTTTATAACACCAAATAATTGAAAACTTTCACTTACAGTACAACAATAAAATAAAAAATTAAAGAATTTCTGGTTCCTTTTTCACTTTCCTTCAGCTGCCTACTTTTTGACTACTACCCTCGTCATTAACATCTCCCTTTGATGGGTCAGGGAAGAAGACCTAAAACACAGTTTGATCACTGTGACTGTCTGCCAACTAAGGTTCTGTTACGGGAGACTTTGAAATTTCCAATTCATTTAGAGACCACTAAACACGAAAACCAAACCCGTTGCCATTGAGTGGATTCTGACTCATAGCGACTCTATAGGAAAGAGTAGAACTGCCCTATAGAGTTTCCAAGGCTGTAAATCTTTTTGGAAGCAGATTGCCACATCTTTTTCCTGTGTAGCAGCTGAGGTCAAACTGCCGACCTTTTGGTTAGTAGCCGAGCACTTAACCACTGTGCCACCAGGGCTCCTTCCATTTAGAGACAGAGGTGGCTAATCTGGTAAAAAAAATTCAACCCAGAACTGACTGTGTAATTTTTCCCTGAACTGAAAAAACTTGTTTTTTTAATTATAAAAGTTATATATGTTTGCTGTAAAAAGCAAACAGAAGTGTAGAGAATTACTTTATTATATTACACAAAACTAATAAATATTCCCATTATTCATTTGTATTTGAAATCATTTTTCTTTAAGTTCATAATAAGTTTGCTTCACTGTTTTGTCCTTCATACTTGCTTCAAAACCTGTACAAGAAGTTCTAAAGAGCTGTATGTGGCCTTAGGGTGGGGAGTTGGCCACTCCTCCTCCATGGATTTCAGGCTATTTATTTCTATTCCCATTAGCAAGACTGAAACGTAAATCAATACCCAAGGTTTTACCCTCACCCTCAAGCAGGACTTCTATATGTACTGAAAATGCTCATGTGGATGTGCTTTAGAAAAAGTTTACACGCAAGAAAATGTTAACGGTGCCACATTTTCTGCTTATTTTGTAACAGAAATGATTTTACTTCATAAAAATCATGTTTCAGGCAAGCTTTTTTTTTTTTTAATACTTAATGACTATTTTCTATAAAATAAAATGTGCAGTTGTGCAATTGGCCCCATGGGATACAACACATAAATGCTCTGAGAGCAGTTACTAACAATTATCCAGGTTGTTCCAAAAATTACGTGGAATTGCACAGATACCCAAAATGTGCTTTTGGGTAAATTTTTCAGCCACTGGAGGCATGTGCATCTGTTTCAAGCACATTCTGGCACAGTATGTATGTTATTATCCATATATGTATCCCACAATTTCAAGTGATTGATACACCCTCCGTCACCGCCCCCACCCCGCCTTTGTCTCCTCTTGGGGGAAGGGAATGGACAAGCATTGGCTAGCACTGGGTGGACCTGGCCATCTAAATTCTAGAAAAAGATCCATAATGTGACATCTCATCATGAGCTGGATGAGTGAGTCAGTGAAGGAACAAAGCTACACAGTAAATTGATAATAAGGTTGCAGGACTGGCATTTTATTTAGTGAAGAGAGTCAAAATAGGGTCCATAGGAAAGGAAGTCTCCCTAAAACTAGTAAATGAGGAATCGCAAAATTGAAAGGGCTTGCATCGAAAAGTAAACTAAACAGATAGATGCCAAGAGTGAGTGAGTCAAAAGCATGTGAGTCGTAAGGGGTTGAACTCAAGAGACCAGATCAGGCAACGCTGCTTAACACCATCACATGATATACCCGGAGGCCCTGTATTTAATTGAAATAAGGAGTGGGGGCTCTACAGACGCCAGAGTACTGTTGTTCTCGGAGGCTAGGGCCAGAGGAGTTAAAAGGTAAACCTGGATTACTTAAGTCTGTGAGAATTCAGCATGGAATGTTCCTACTGTTTCCTGGGATTCCTGTTTCTTGCTGCAGGATTGCCACGTGACGCCGCCAAACGTGAGTAACTCTCAGTTTCTGTGTTTAACCATTCCCTGGCTATTCTCTGAAGCGGCAGGGAATGATGTCCTCTGAGTCAGAATTTGGACTGCAGCTGCTCAAGAAGGCTTCACGGCCTCACTTGTTTCTTCTGGAAACCTTTGGGAATGCTGAAACTATAGCAAAATGCCACCAGCTTGATTCTTTGCTTCAGGTTATGGGAAGTAAAAACCATGGAGTCCTCTCTTACGGGGAGCTCTGTTTCCACTACGATTGCTACCCACCCTCCTGCCAGACAGTGGGCCTGGGTGAGGGGCACAGTCTCTAGCCCCAGAACAAAGCAACTCTCCCGACTAAGCCTCCTCTGACTTCCTATCCAACAAGGGAGAAACCTCAGATGAACCGCGGCCCAAATCTGGAGACACGCACTCTAATAACCCCAACCCAGAAACTGTTTCTAATCCCGCTGCTCTTCACAGACTTGTAGGAATTTGTTGCCATTAGTGAGGTTACAGAGAGAAAAGCCCAAGCCCAAACCCTGGTTCTCTAACACATTAAAGGCTGGAGGACTTTTAACGGTGATGAGGAAATCAGAATCTTTGGAGGTAGGGCAGGAGCATCCTTGTTTAAAAAGCTCCTCTTGTGATTTAAATGCACAGCTAGGGTTGAGAACCCTGAGCAAGAGCACGGTCCACTCGTCCAGTGCAGGGAATGGGTGGCAGTGGCAGCCCCCATTGTCCACGTAGAGTTTGTGGAGTGGGAGAAGAGAGTGCCTCGTACCTCACCCAGAAGGTCCAATTCACCCCACTCCAATACAGTAGTGACATTCACTAGTTTAAAAGCTCAGGGGGTCCTGATTCTACTAGACTACTCCATGGGGAAGAGATGAGCCCAAGAGGAAACTGGTCCTCAGAGCAGACAAGGCAGGGCTGAGAAGGGGCCAGCATCTACCTAGTGCCCGCCATGTGTCAATTTCGGCGCTGCTGCTGCACTTCCATTACTCATGTAATCCCCACAACCACCTTTGTGGAGCAGATGTTCCTCTCTTTAGTCAACAGGTGAGGAAACCACCAACTCAGGTTTTGCTTTACACCTGCTGAACCCCAGTCTGAGAGGAGGACCCTGGATATCGGCTTGGGCCCCTGTGCACACCTTCCTTTCACTCTTACACCCTGCGGGAAAGGAAAGTCCTTTAAGCAGGTTGCACTGACAGAGTTGGAGGTTCCTGGGTGGTGCAAACCGCCTGCGCTCATCTACTAACCAAAAGACTGGTGGTTCAAACTCACTCAGCAGCACCAGAGGAGAAAGGCCTGGCAATCTGCCTCCATAAAGATTTCAGTCAAGAAAACTCCATTGAGATTGGTGGGGTGGCCATGAGTTCCCATCAACTCCACTGCAAAGGGTTTGGTTTGTTTTTTGCAGAGTTGGATCAAGGGCGGGAGGTGCTGGTAGGCAGAGGAAGAGTGGGGGAGACGCTGGTAACCATGGAGCCCGCAAGAAGGCCGCGCCCCTTGCTGCATAGGTAGTGGGGCCTGGAGAGGCCGAAGCGGGGCGGAGGTGGGAGCTAGAGGTGGAGGAGGAGGGCGCAGGGCGGGGCGGGCGGACAGACGCGGCTGGGCTCCGGGATTGGTGGGGGAGGGGAGTAAAGGAAGAAGGAGGCGCGCGGCCACTTCTCCTCGCAGCCGCTGAGGCCGAAAACTTGGGTTGAGACCTCGGTCCCGCAGACTCCCTCATATTGCCCCCCCGCCATCTCCTTGTCTCCTCCGACCTGAGGCTCGGAAAAGATCCCCGGTTTTGGACAAGGGAGTCCAAACACAGGGAATGCGGCGGGCTGGTGCCAGGGCCTGGAGAGCCGCTGCCCGTGCACCCCAAAGGAAACTGACGACCCTGGTGCTTGCGGAGGCGGCTGTGCGGCACATGTCTTGTGATTATCCCGTTTTACAGATGAGAAACAGGCCACAGAGAGGGCAAGTAACTCGCCCCAGGCCACACAGCTGGTAAGCAGAAAAGGCGGGCTTCCATCCCTACCCTTGTCCTTAACGAGGATTTGGAGTTAGACAGACTTGGGTTGCCTGCCAGCCGTGAAGTTGAGCCACAAGTGACTTAGCTTCGTTTCCTCATTTGCAAAGTGGGTAATAAGGTTCTTGTGAGATATGTGAGATCAACTAACAAAGTTCTGGGTATGAAAGACATGTTGTTAGCTGCCGTGGAGTCCCCTGACTCATGGCGACCTCATGTGTATTCCTGGGTATTCTTGGCTGTAATCTTTGTGGAAGCAGATTGCCAGGCATTTCTTCCAAGGTGCCGCTGGGTGGGTTCCAAAGGCAGCCTTTCGGTTAGTAGGAGCGAAAACCGTTTGTGCCACCCAGGCCACACGCGTGGTGGCAGTTGTTACTGTCGTGACAGACCTGCACCCAGCCTCACTGTACCTCCTGGGACAGACTCCCTTAGAGTATGCAGTTCCAGCAGATAGAGGGACAGAGAATTGACAGGTCAGAGGGAGACGGGACTCCTAATTCTAGGCCACCTTCTCTCTACCAGAGCCCTGGTGGCACAGTGGTTAAGCGTTTGGATGCAACGAAAAGGCCAGCAGTTCAAATCCACCAGCCGCTCCTTGGAAACCTATGGGGCAGTTCTCTGTCCTAAAGGGTCGCTATGAGTTGGAATTGACTCTACCACAACAGGTTTCCCTTTACCATCGTCACTTTGCTCGTTGAGTAAAGCTGATTTAGCCAGAGCTGGAATCTGGGCTATCACTTTGAGAGGACTCCTCAACCTGTTAGACTGTGTAACAAAATCTGACCACTCGTGGCTTTACTTTGCCAGACTAAATTTTCTGGCCAGGAAAAATAAGAACTGGTAGGATTTAGCAGTGTATCAGACACCAAGGAATTCTTTGCTGTGCATCCTACATTTTCCAATCATAGCCGTGGTATAAAGAAGGAAGGAGAAGGTGTTGACAAAGCAGTTAGCAAGCAGCCCCAGCCGCCACCTCTCCACTTGTGGACAGAGTAGGGAGCCCAAAGTGTAGAGGGAAAAGTCACAGCGGGGCTGGGTGTGACTCCATATTTACATTCACATCCATTCCTCCCTGCCCTCCTTTTAGAGTATGCTTACTATTGCGTTTGTGTTATTTTGTTTTACTTTTAAATTCAACATTTCATTTTGAGATAATTGCAGATTCACATGCACTTGTAAGAGATAATACAGAGAGATCCCATGTGGCCCTTCCCAATGGTGACGTCTTGCAAAGGATAGTACAGTATCACAACCAGGATATTGACACTGATACAGTCAAGACATAGAACATTTCCTTCGCCACAAGGATCCTTCAGGTTGGACTTTTATATCCACAACCATTTCCTTCCCTCCTCCCTCCCAGCCTCTGGAAACCACTACTCTGTTCTACAATTTTGTTATTTCAATAGTGTTATATAAATGGAATCATACAGTATAAAGCTTTGGAACTGGCATTTTTCATTCAACATAATTCCCTGGAGATTCATCCAAGTTGCTCATGTGTCGAAGGTTTGTTCCTTTTTTATTGCTGAGGAATATTCCATGGTATGAATGTACCACAATTTGTGTAACCATTCACCCACTGAAGGACATCTGGATTGTTTCCAATTTAGGGCTATTATGAATAAAGCTGCTGTGAACATTAGTGTACAGATTTTTGTGTTAATATAAATTTTCATTTCTCTGGAATAAATGCCCATGAGTATAATTGTTCAATTGTATGGTAATGTCATGTTTAGTTTTTATAAGAAACTGCTAAACTCTTTGTAAGGGTGGCTGTACTGTCTACCTCACACTAGTAATGTATGAGTGATCCAGTTTCTTTGCATCCTCACCTCCATTTGGTGTTGTCACTGTTGGTTTCGCCATTCGGATAGTTGTGTAGTGATACGTCATTGTAGTGTTAGTGAGCACTTTAGAAATGGCTAATGATGCTGAACATCTTTTCATGTTTTTATTTGCCTTCTGGATATCCTCTTCAGTGAAATGTCTGTTCATGGTCTTTCGTCCATTTTCTAATTGGGTTTTTCTTTTTTTTTTACTGTTGAGTTGTGAAAATTCCTTATATATTTTAAATACTGCCTTAGTCATCTAGTGCTGTTGTAACAGACATACCACAAGTGGATGGCTTTAACAAAACAAAGTTTATTTCCTCACAGTAAGGTAGGCTAAAAGTCCAAATTCAGGGCGTCAGCTCCAGGGGAAGGCTTTCTCTCTCTGTCAGTCTTCTCATCAAACTTCCTTGGACTAGGAGCTTCTCCTTGCAGGGACGCCAGGTCCAAAGGACTCCCTCTGCTCCCAGACTGCTTTCTTATTGGTATGGGGTCCCCAACTCTCTGCTTGTTTCCCTTTCCTTTTATCTCTTGCAGGATAAAAGGTGGTGCTGACCACACCCCAGGGACACTCCCTTTACATTGGATCAGGGGTGTGACCTTAGTAAGGGTGTTACAATTCCACGGCTAATCCTCTTTTACATAAAATTACAATCACAAAATGGAGGACTACCACACAATACTGGGAATCATGGCCCAGCCAAATAGATACACACATTTTGGGGGGGACATAATTCAGTCCATGACAGATACTAATCCTTTGTTGGATTTGTGGTTTGCAAATATTTTCTCCCTGTCTGTAGCTTGTCTTTTCATCCACTTTATATGGTCTTTCACAGAGCAGAAGTTTTTCATTTTGATGAGACCCACTTTATCAATTTTTCCTTTTATGGATCATGCTTTTGGTGTCAAGTCTAAGCACTCTGCCTAGCCCTAGATCTTGAAAATTTTCTCCTATGCTTTTTTCCTAAAAGTTTTATATTTTACATTTAGATCTGTGGTCCGTTTGAGTTAATGTTTGTAGAAGGTATGAGGTTTAGGTCGAATTCATTTTTTTGCCTACAGATGACCAATTGTTCTAGCACTATTTGTTGAAAAAGCTCTCCTGCCTCCATTGAATGTTTTTTGCACCTTTGTCAAAAATCATTTGGTCATATGTGTGTACAACTATTTCTGGATTCCCTGTTCTGTTCCATTGCCCTAGGGATCTATCCCTTGTCACCCTCCTTTTAAGTCTGTATTTTTCCTTGACTTCTGACATTTAAAATCAGGGGAGAAATCTTCATGTTGATTGTGTTTCTGGAAACACTGACTTTCAGTCAGGATCTGGGGAAGAGGGAGACTGTAGGAACAGTGGAAAGAACTGGTTCCTGGCGTTAAATACGTGAATGTTCATTTTCACTTGATTAACGATGACCATGGGAGACTTATATCACTTCTGCAGTCCTGAATTTCTTCATCCATAAAATGAGTGGGTTTGAACTAAATAATTTTCGTTCTCTTCAGACTGAACATTCTAAACCATCCTATGACTTAGTTCAAGTGAATTTCCAGTTGTAAATATTTATCAACATGTATTACTTTTCCTCACTTAGTATCTGTCTCCAGATAGGAACAATCTCACAGAATCACAGGACATTTGGTTTTTTCTGATTTGAAGGCCCAGAGAAAAACATGGCCTGAGGTTTAGTAACGGAATCAAGGCTAGAAATCATTCTGAGACTCACGATCCAATGTGCTTTCCCATACCATCTATCTCCCTTATAAGAAGAGAATAACATGCCACTCCCTCCTCCTACTTGACAGAAGGAATAGAAATAAGAGGTTAGGTGGAATTCATTCAATATGACTTCTCTGAGCACCTACTAAATACCACACCTTGTGGTAGGCCTCTTCCAGGATTTAGGAAAAGAAAACAGAGTCTCTGGCATCTAGTTTCTAGGAGTTCATAGCTAAGCCAAGACACAAGAACACAAACATTGATGAAAGGACAGTTTAAGATAGTATATGATTAGGGGATAGCTGAGTGCTATAGAAAATTTTGCTTTTGGCTGTGAGTAACAAAATACTCAAATAGGTTAATGAGTAAGACACTTTCAGTCTCACACAATCAGTCCAGAGGTAGGCAGGGCTAGAGCAGCAGGTCAAGAATGTCACCAAGGACTCCATTTCTTTTCGTCTTTCCATGATGCCACCCTTGATGTGTTGGCTTATTTCCTCAGATTTGTGCCTCATGGTTAAATACTGCTGCCGCAGCTCCAGGTATCACATCATTACACTACCATCTCTAAAATCAATTTTGAAGGGGAAAAATGGAGTTTATTCTTTAATTTATCTTTTTATAAATTAGGGTTACCTTTCTCAGAAGCCACCAGAAGACTTCCTCTCAGTTCCCACTGGCCAGGATTTCATCACCTGCTCCTGCTCAAACTTTAAGGGAGGCTGGGCAAGTGAGACTCTGGAATTTTGAACTGTTATAGTAGAAACTCTGCCAACAAAAAGAAACAAAAGAGGAAGGATAGAGGCAGGAAATAGCTGCTAAGTAGACAAAGGTGTGCTACAATCCTCACGTGCTCGGCAGTTCAAATCCACTAGCCGCTCCTTGGAAACTCTATGGGGCAGTTCTACTCTGTTCTATAGGGTAACTATGAATCGGAGACGACAGCAATGGGTTATTTACTTGACATATAGGAAATATCATGCATAGGCTTTCCAACCTTGCAGAATGAATATTCTTTTCACCACTGTTAGATAAGTACTAAATGAGGAATAGAATAGACAATTAATTTTTCAAATATTGATATAGGATTCCATGAAGTGCTGAGCGACAAAAAACCTTCTGCTTATATGAGGGACTACAACCAATTAAATGGCTGGTCTTCAGATGAAAATGACTGGAATGAAAAGCTCTATCCAGTGTGGAAACGGGGAGACTCTAGGTGGAAAAACTGCTGGAAAGGTAAATCACAAGATTCAACCCAGACCACTGTAATTTCCTATTTAGGTAACTCTTTAGAATGTAGAACCTTTTAGATCACGTGAGAGCACTCCTGTTATCAAATAGGATGGTACTTGGATTTGGCAGTCTTTCCTGTTACTCCAACATTGTCACTTTCTAAGCCACAGGAAAATGTTTATTCTCCTTAGAGATTTTCAGTTTGGTAGCTCTTGAATAATTTGGAAAATGAACAGATTTAGCCTTAAACCTGACTAATGCAGGAATAGTCATCTTTCAATGATTAGAGAATTCTTTAACTGGTCTAATCTCTTTTAGTCTTCTTGAATGTTGTACTCTGAAAGCTAAAGTTAACCGGGACCCAGGAAATAAATTTAATGTATTATAAAGAGGCATTTGGATTCTATGGTCCTTATTAGTAGATTTAATTTTTCTTTACATGTTTATTCGGCAATGAAAGGAGAAAGAGATGCTCGATCATTGATCTCCATTTTTAATGCCCTAGGAGGCCATTTGCAGGCGGTCCTGACCAGTGACTCCCCAGCACTGGTGGGCTCAAATATAACATTTGTGGTGAACCTAGTATTCCCCAGATGTCAAAAGGAAGATGCCAGTGGCAACATCGTCTATGAGAAGAACTGCAGAAATGGTAAGGAATGCTATTCATGTCACAAGAACAAGGGTTTTGTCTTGTAACTACCAGAGACCCGTCTCATTAACCTCAATGCTCACAAGTACTTCTATAAGTGTCCCATGCTGCTGTCATCCTTCCATACCCTCCTCCTCAAGTTGCATGACAGGGAGGGTGAGAGTTTAGTTCTACCCACCCCCTTCATCAACATCAGCATCAACATCAGTCAAACCTACTTCAGCAAACTGGTGGCTGTCAGCTGCTTGGAAGTCTCTTCAAACTCCATGTTGTTGTATCCAGCTTTATCTTAGTGTGCAGTGGCATATATCTATTGATTCCCGGATTATGGCTTTATTACTTGGAATTCTTTGGGCTACTCAAAGAATAGATAACGTGACAGATTTTTGCTGATCATTTTAATTTCTGTTCGTGAGTATTAAGCAAATGCTATACGGCTAGCACAAATGCTGAAGTGTATATATTTTGTGTTGCTTTGTTCCTAGATAAAGCAGATAAGCTCTTTGTACATGTTAAAGAGCACAAATGAGCACATTTAAATTATCTGGTTAGAACTGTACATTCTCCAAAAAACAGCTAATTACTGAGATTTTGCTGATTAAAAACTGTTATATGCACTTAGAGTCTGACTTCCAAATTTTATTATTTAGAATTTTTATTAAACTGTTGATGTGTTCATTCCTTATCAATTTATCACTTTGCCATGAGGAAAACATTACATTCTGTATGGAAAGGGTTTGGTATTTAAAAAGTGTTAAGTGCTTAATATTTTGTAGTATTTTTTTCTTCTTTTCTAAAAAAAGCCGGCTCTTCTGCTTCAAGTGACAGTCTAGCCATCTGAGTACTTTTATTGTGAAAGACTCCTTGTGACATATGAAAATTTTTATAAAATAACCATCACCACTAAAAGGAACTAGGGCTCTTTGAAGAAATGGCTGATTCCAGGTCTAAGGCAGAGAAAGTACCAGGTGAACCCAGAAACAAGGAAGTGCTTAAAGACAATGGTGTCATGTCAAAAGGACACAGGAGCCAGCTTGGCAGGCTTCCACTGGCCATATTTGGGACAATTTAAAAATCAAAAAAGAGTGATGATATAATAGATTGACGAAAAAGACTCTTTAAAAAAGTCAATGACTGTTGCCTAATGGGTATACAGAGTTTCTGTTTAGGGTAATAAAAGTTTTTGGAAATAAATAGTGATTATAGTTGTACAACATTGTGAATATAATTAATGCCACTGAATTATACACTTTAAAATGGTTAAAATGACAAATTATACGTTATATATAGTTCACCACACACACACACACACAAAAATTAGTTCCATGAAATACAAAAGAGAGTGAAAGGGTTGTTCTAGATGAAAAGTTATTGATCATGGCTTGTTTAAAATGAAGAATTTCATACATACAGAAAGGTATAAAGCAAAGTACGCCGAGCACCTAAATACCCTCTACCTAGATTTTAACATTTTGCTGTATTTGTGCACGCGTGTGTACGTATTTCTTCTTTTCTGAATCATTTGAAGAGACATAAAAGCCAAATGTAGGGTGCAAAACTTGACTGGACTGTGGTGGGGTAGTAACAACGTTGGGGTTTTGTAGAATGCCCTTATTCTCAGGAGATACATGCTGAAGTCTTTGGGAGCAGAGAGTCAGGATGTCAAATGATTCAGGAAAAAAAGATAGAGATAGAAAGAGTATGTCAAAATGAAAAGACAAAGCATCCTTCAGTTTGGTTTGAATATGTTTGTGATTTGGTGACCCAATATGAAAATAAATATCAAATTGAGTAGTATGTCCAGATTGAACTTATCCTGAATAATTGACTTACATAAAACTTTTTATTGAAATATAACACATATGCAGAAAAATGCACAAGTTATAAATGTACCATCTGATGAATTCTGGATATTAGAGTTTTAGTTGTCCGACTATATTTAAACTGGTCATGAACAAATATTTAAGTGTTTGATTCAGGCTCCTTATCATTGGGCATTCTGAGTCTACACATAATCGTGATTTGCTTCTTTCTCTGTTTAGATACTGGTTTGTCTCCTGACCCGTATGTTTACAACTGGACAGCATGGACAGAGGATGGTGACTGGGGAGATGGCACCCACCAAGGCCATCACAATGTTTTCCCTGACGGGAAACCTTTTCCTTACCCCCCTGGATGGAAGAAATGCAATTTTGTCTACGTCTTCCACACGCTTGGTAGAACTTTTTTTTCCTCCGTATTTTTCTCTTGATTCAATCCACTTCAACAATTACAGAAGTGTATCAGTATTGACCAGTATCGGTGCATCATTATCAACACATCGATTTGACCTCCATTATCTGCCCCAAATGGCCATTTAATTGCTGGCTAAACTCCAATAAGTAATTCAGATAATTTTGTTCCCATAATAACAAAATAACATTCTATCTTATCTCCTTTGGGCACACTGAAATATATTTGATTGAATGCACACTTAGACAACAATTTTCCCTTTTTTCAAAGCCAACAGTCATATTTTAGACCATCTGCAGGTGGTAGAGGAACAAAGATGGATTCTTTATAGTCTACATGATTGGTTGGAATTTTTCAAGTCCCCTTAGCCTTTTCCCTACTGTCTTAGTTATCTAGTGCTACTATAACAGAAATTCCACAAGTGGGTGGCTTTAACAAACAATTTATTTTCTCACGGTTTAGGAGGACAGAAGTCCGAATTCAGGGTGTTAGCTCTAGAGGAAGGCTTTCTGTCTCTGTCAGCTCTGGAGGAAAGTCCTCATCTCTTCTGAACTGCTGCTCCTGGGCAATCTTCATTTGGCTTGGCATCTCTCTTCCCCCATCTCTGCTTTTTGCTTGCTTGTTTAATCTCTTTTATATCTCAAAAGAGATTGACTCAAGAACACCCTACACTAATCCTGTCTTATTAACATAACAAAGACAACCCATTCCCAAATGGGATTATAATGACAGGCATAGAGGTTAGGATTTACAACACATATTTTGGGGGGACACAATTCAATCCATAGCACCTACCTATCCTTAAGTTTTTAACCTTCTTCTCTTTTCTTACTTTATAATTGAGAATTTTAACACAGACTGTAACAACAGTTACCCTGTTAACTTTCTTTGCTTGGGTGGAAATCTTGGTTAGCCCTGCCGAATCCCCAGGACACCAAAGAATTAGCTAAGAAAAAAAACAGATTAAGCTCTTTATTGAAGATAAAATTACTCAATTTTTTCCTGTCTAAAACAGTAATGTAAAAAAATATTAACCTTTATTTATTTGGATGGCACATGAATAAGCTTTTTTTTTTAATGTATTCTTTGATTTTTTATATTCTGAAACAATTTTTACAAATTGAAGAACCTTATGCTCTTTGTGGAGCCCTGGTGGCGCAGTGGTTAAGCGTTTGGCTGCTAATCAAAAGGTCAGCAGTTTGAATCCACCAGCCGCTCCTTGGAAACCCCATGGGACAGTTCTCTGTCCTAGAGGGTTTCTATGAATTGGAATCAACTCGATGGCAGTGGGTATCTTTTTTGTAGAAAATTTGGAGAATGCAGAAAAGTACAAAGGAAAGATAAAAATCATCCAAAATTAACAACAGAGATTGTCATTGTTAACATGATGGTGTTTTCTTTAGTAATATTTCTTGATTCAGATTATAATGTATACACGTTTTTGCTTAATATCGTGAGCATTTTAAGATATCATTAAAACCTCTTTTTACATATTGATATTCCACTGTGTAGAAATAAAATAACTACTCCAATCTTCTTTGCCATAGTCTACCCTCTTACCTTCTTTTTTTAAACCACAAATGGCACTCACTTTATTACTGATGAATTGATTATTTTTAGGAAGAGCAAATTTAGGTTATTAGAAAGGCTGTTAAGTTCTTAGCTTAAAATATCACCAGGTGCCAAGTATTTGAAAACTCCTACAAATAGAGCAGCGTTCAAATTTCTAAATGTTTTTGCCTTCATAAAGTAGAAAAAAATGCCTTTTTCTTAAATTAACTTATTTACAAGCCAAAATAAAATATTAATAATACACATCAGTTGAACAAAGTACAAAATATATCAAATATTATGTATTAACTCTATGCTCATCTGTTCAAATCAGTTGCTTTAAAATTGACTTCTTTTACAACGACATCACGTCCCTGTCAGTTAACTCAATAAATGTCATGATTTCTTTGACCTGTCACTCCTACAGCAGAATTCTGATAGTTTGCCTGAAGTCACTTTCACTCACTAACACTGCAGTTTCTTTTTAGCCTAGTTATCATTTTATTAACTTAAAATGTCTTTATTTAGAATTAGCCTTTGCCCAGAAATTGCTCTGTTTCTAACACGACTGTTCTGAATTTCCGTCTTCCCCAAAGTCTCAGAGTTAACTGATATTCTTTCTCAAATAGTCTTGCTTCTGTGGCCTCATCTCACAGTGCCAGAGCTAACATTTTCCTCACGTATGACAAATGCCCTCAGAGGAACCTCTTTCCACTACAGCCTCCAACAGAACTGCCCCTGCATCTCAAGGTGAGGGGGGATTCTGAAAACATATCCCTTAGGAGATCAGGGTGCTTTTCTGACATGTTTCACCGTATGGTAAACATGGTCTTCCAAACATCCCCTTACAATACCTGTACTTGCCAAAGGCAGATCTCTGCTGGGCACCATGATCGGATTAGAAGAGTCCAGCTAGTCAGTGGCAGTTAGATTAGAGGAAGGTTAGAGAAAGAAAATATGACTAAAGGGCATCCTAGAAATATGTTTATAGGACCATTCCACTCTTTTTTATACCCACCACACTCTATTTCTTTTTCATCATTTACTGTATTTTTATATAGAAATACTGTGAGAAAATGTGGAGAATCCCAGTCTCTTAAAAAAGAGCTGCTTAATAATATGGCTGAAAATAGTAATGTTGTTATAATAGATAACATTATAGTTATCTATAATAAATACCTATAGTAGATATATTACATAGAATTAGAGATGTAGATACACTATAGATATATAGTATATACAATGATCGATAAAAAAACAAAACCAAACCTATTGCTGATCCCAATTCATGGTGGACCCTTGTATTACAGAGTAGAACTGCTCCATAGGGTTTTCTTAGCTGTAATCTTTACAGAAGCAGATTGCCGGCCCTTTCTTCCATAGTACTTTTAGGTGGGTTTCAACTGCCAACCTTTAGGTTAGTAATCGAGGGCAAACCATTTGTGCCACCTCTCCTCCTCCAGAGTAGAACTGCCCCATGGGGTTTCCAAGGAGCTGCTGGTGGATTCGAACTGTCAACCTTTTGGTTAGCAACCATAGCTCTTAACCACTGACATAGGTAGTTCTAATAAATAATGTAGTTTTTTTTTTTTTTGATAAATAAATTTAACTCCCCTGGACACTTCATCATTACATTAAATGTTCTCTACTGGAAAAAAAAAATGTATTTTAGGTGCTAAATCACTTACTTATAAAGAGTATTTATTTGTAAACTAAAAACTGGCTGTATTATCCCACTAAACAGTTTGCATTAATTTAGTCCTGATATGTGCAATTATGTTTCTATAACTTGTGGCTTTGTTTTGTAAAGCTTTACATAGAAATAAGCACTAGGCCATCTTCCCTTCTAAAACAGCGAGGACCATATTCACATCCTGCTTTTCCCTCCCTGGAGCGATCTCTTCCAAATCGTGGTCACTAGTCTTTAAGAAAGAACACCAACGTCCTATAATGATCGTGTGATGTAGCCAGTAACTGAAAATTACCATCCTCTTAAAGGTCAGTATTTCCAGAAATTGGGACAATCTTCAGCGAGAGTTTCTATAAACACAGCCAATGTGACACTTGGCCCTCAACTCATGGAAGTGGCTGTCTATAGAAGACACCATCGGGCATTTGTACCGATTGCAAGAGTTAAGGACCTGTATGTGGTAACAGGTGAGTGATGTGAACTGTAAGTTAACTGCAAATAAAGTACTTCGTGCCGGTATCATTAGTGGGCTAAGAAAGAGTTAGAACCAACTGTTCTGGATTAGATTAGGATTCACCTGCACTCGTTCCCAAATTTGTACATTTAATTATATTGTATTCCATCTGTTTTCCAGAATAACTTAGGGAAACTAGAAAAATTAAATATGAAAAGGGAAAATGATGTTGAATAATCCCTTATTTTAATATTTTTAACCTAAAAGCACCATTGAAGTCCTCCACTTAAAATCAAGCAACCATGCATTCTTTCTTTTTTTTAATGTGTGTTTTAGATCAGATTCCTGTATTTGTGACTATGTCCCAGAAGAACGATCGAAATTCATCTGATGACACCTTCCTCAGGGACCTCCCCATTATATTCAATGTCCTAATTCATGATCCTAGCCACTTCCTTAATGAGTCTGCCATTAAATACAAGTGGAACTTCGGGGATAACACTGGTCTATTTGTTTCCAACAATCACATTTCAAATCACACGTACGTGCTCAATGGAACCTTCAGCCTTAACCTCACCGTGCAAGCTGCAGTGCCTGGACCTTGCCCTTCTCCCTCACCCAGACCTCCAAAACCCACCCCTTCTTTAGGTAAGCGTTTTCCAGGTAATCTTTGAGGAGGTCTCCTTAACAGCTAAAACATTCACATAGGTTGTTATTAGGTGCCTTTGAGTCTATTCTGACTTATGGTGACCCCATGTGACAGTACAACTGCCCCCATAAGGTTTTCTAGGCTGTAATCTTTATGGGGAAGATCACCAGGTCTTTTCTTCCACAGAGCTGATGGGTGGGTTCAAACTACCAACGTTTCGGTTAGCAGACAGCACTTGACTGTTTGCACCTACTAGATCCCTAGTTAAGAGGATTGTGTAGAGACCGCAATGATTCCATTCTTTGCGTGTTGAGTTTTTTTTAATTTGGCTATTTACCTTATTACTTGAGTTGAAAGAATTTTTTATTTATTATAAATTGTTTCCTGTTACTTTTTTATTTTATTGTGCTTTAGGTGAAAGTTTACAGAGCAAATTAGTTTCTCATTAAACAACTAATACGCATATTGTTTTGTGACGTTGGTTGCCAACCCCACGATATGGCAATACTCTCCCCTTCTTGACCTTGGGTTCCCCATTTCCACTCATCCAGCTTTCCTGTTCCCTCCTACCTTCTTGTCCTGCCCCCGGACCGTTGTGCCCATTTAGTCTAGTATACATGGTTGAACGATGTGTGTTATTGTTTTATAGGCCTGTCTAATCTGGCTGGAAACCCTTGTGGCAAAGTAGTTCAGAGCTATGTCTGCTAACCAAAAGGTTAGCAGTTCGAATCCACCAGGCACTCCTTGGAAGCTCCATGGGGCAGTTCCACTGTATCCTATAGGGTCACTATGAGTCGGAATCAACTTGACGGCAACGGGTTTGGTAATCTTTGGTTATACCTGTTCATTTTTTTAACCACTTAATCACCCATTTTAAGCCTTTAGAACATGGAAGCAGGGAGACAGTGTTTAGCCATTTTGCAAGTAGAATTCGGTGACTCTTACAAAGCTCTTTAAAGGGTGCTGGTGGTGTAGTGGTTAAAGGGCTCGGCTAACCAAAAGTTGGTGGTTCAAACCCACCAGCCACTCCACAGGAGAAAGATGTGGCAGTCTGCTTCTGTAAAGATTTCCCTAAAGACTTAGAAACCTTATGGGGGCAACTCTACTCTGTCCCATAGGGTTGCTTTGAGTCAGAATGGACTTGACTACAGTCGGTTTGGTTTTTTTGGTTTATAAAGCTCTTTGACCCTCCTAATTTATATAGGAGGCCCTTTCTATATATATAGATGCTTTCCCCTTGTAGCCTATCACATTTCTGTTTGTCTCCTGTATTGCAGAGCTAGGAGAAGACACGTTTACCCCTGTGAACATTCAGGACCTCCCCACTTTCCTCCCTCCTCCTCCATTTTTTTCTCCACTCACCTGCCCACACCTACCCAGTTATCCATGAATACAATGCCACACTTGAAACCAGTTTCCAAATGGCCAAAGAAATACTTTAGAGTATTTCTGGAGTTAGCAAGCTGGAAAGACCCCAGACATTAAAATTGCTCTGGATGCAAGGCATAATTAATTAAATCCCACCCACTATTAATAGTGTATAAGAACATTCAAAAAGTTCTTAAGAGTCCACTTTGGAAAGGGTTAGTCTCCATCTGTTTCCTTGCCCCACGCTATCACCACCCTTACCCACTTGGCCATTAAGACAGTTTAGTACCCCAGAATCAGGGGTAATAATAAGCTGACATTCTCTCACTGGTCCCAAGAGGGCGCCATGACCAAGCCCAGAGGGAACACTCCATCTTGATCTCCTGAGCTGTTGTTTTACTAAAACCTGTCAGTAATACAATGAGATCTTGTTAAATCAAGCATATCTAAGTTAAGACACTACAGTCATTATTTCTGATTTTTATTAATTCTTTTTTGATATGTTTTAAATTCCAAAATTAATGCACGTTCTTTAGTAAAAATTCACACAATGTAGAAGTCTAGAGTAAAAAGTAAAGTCCCTTTCGCACTCTCCTCCCAAGAGTTAACCACTATTAATAGCTTGGAGTATTTCCTTATAGATCTTTTTCTATGCATTTATAAACTTATGTAAACATATAACACCAAAAAAACCAAACCCAGTGCCGTCGAGTCGATTCTGGCTCATAACGATCCTATAGGACAGAGTAGAACTGCCCCATAGGGTTTCCAAGTAGCGGCTGGTGTATTCGAACTGCCAACCTTTTGCTTACCAGCCAAGTTCTTAACCACTGTGCCACCTGGGCTCCGTAAATATATATGGATTTTGTTGTTTGGGGTTTATGTAAATGGGTTCATGCTATAAATATTGTTTTACAGCTTGCTTTTTTTCACTTAACAAACATTATAGACATTTTTCCATTATGGATATTCTATAACTTATTTAGCCATTCTCTTATCGATGGATGATTAGGTTAATTCTGTTTCAATTACAAATATTACTGCATTGAGAATCTTTGAACATATAACGTCATTCTGGTTCCATAGGAGAACCAATTTCTTTATCTACAAGTATTGATGGCTTCCTTAAAATAAGAGAGCTAGGTATAAAATTCAAAACTAATTACAGATGCCTTTAACTTCTGCACCTAGAAATTCCTGAATGATGAAAGAAGTCAATGTTAGTCTGTTTTGAATTGCATGTTTATTAAGCTAGCTTGTTTTTCTTAGAAGCTACTTATATCATAGCACGTGTAAAAATATATTTAAGACAATGAAAATGTATTTGAAATTTCTGTTATTATTTTTCCTAGGTCAGACCATAAGATATAAGACATATAGTTACCTTATGAATTAGTTAAATTTTACAGCAAAGGGAAACTTCCTGGCCTTATATAAAAGTGTAAGATCAAGTATAGTTAATCCCGAATGCCTTAAAGCAGCTGTGAGTTGTGGGGGAAGGGTAGGAATAAGTAATGGGACCCATTGTGATAATCGGCATCAGCCCATGACTTAAAAAATGGAAGTGGGATGGGACACTTGTTCTCTAGAAGAGATAATTTTCAGCTATACAGGGTCTATCAAGGGTCTTGGATTAGCAAGTACTGGATTATTATTCGGCCAAAAATTGTATTCTCTCTGCTTTGATAAGTGGCTTCATAATAAAGCACAGCCATAACAGAAACCAAACGCAACCACAGGAGTGAGACAGAAGAAGCAGAGTTGAAGAGGCAACTCAGGTTGATGGTTAAGTCACAGGGCAGAGGAGTGCGCATTATTTTTGAGTCACAGAATTCTCTTACCTTCCATTTTTCAGACTTCAGTGAGTAAATCTGAAAAACAACCTTTGTAAGACTGATGCTGATCAGTGAAATACTGTATACACATACATATGTTATAACACTTCGTATTTACATAAACAAAACCAAACCCATTGCCATCGAGTCGAATCCCACTCCTAGCGACCCTATAGGACAGAGTAGAACTGTTCCATATGGTTTCTAAGGAACGGCCGGTGGACTCAAACTGCTGACATTTTGGTTAGCAGCCGAGCTCTTAACCACTGCGCCACCAGGGCTCCACATATTTACATAGATGTATATAAATATATATTACCAGAGGAAAAGAAACAGATCTTTATTAACTTGTGTGGCAGACATGAGAGGCATGTTTTACATTTAAGCCTCACAGTTCCACCCGAGGAGGTCGGTGAGGTGAAGACAGGTTAAATGATGTACCCAAAGTCTGAAATATCTAAAAGCAAGAGGAGCTAGAATGCGAGCCCAGAATACCTCACTCAAAATTCAAATGTGACTTTTGTCTGTCATGGTAGGCTTGATTTCATCGTGATTAGTTGTATCACAGATTTAAATATGGTTTCTACCTTTCATTTTTTTCCTGTGTTTAAACAAGACACAGAATTGTATTTACCAACCTAATTTAGCAATTATAACCATAACGGCTCTCACATCTGTATGAATCATTGCACATTTAGATCAAATTTCTGCAGCAATTTGAGCAGTAAAGAATTATTGATGTTTTTCTGAAGGAGCAGATAGACAAATGTTTTGGTTTTTGGTAATATCGTGTACATCTCCTTTTACATAGGTTGCAACTACTCTAAAATCTTATTTTCAAACTCTCCAGGTCCTGCTGATGACAACTCCTTGGAGCTGAGTGAGATTCCTGATGAAAGATGCCAAATTTACAGATATGGTTACTTTAAAGCCACCATCACAATTGTAGGTAAGGCTGAAGACCAGCGGGGGAAGGTCATGAGAATCCATCTAAGGCTAACTCCAGAGAGGTGGAAGCAGGGAGCAGGGGCCCCCACTGCCTGTCAGAGAAGATGCCACACTGTCCTATTGTGTGGGTTCCCACCTACTTTTCCTGGTGGAAATGAGCCTTATGTGAGGCCCATGGATGTCATGAGCCTGCCCTGGGCCTGGCTCTAGCCCTCCACCTCAGCAATGGGAATGAATGAGGGGGTTGAAGGAAGGCCAGTATGGAGATCCAACAACTTCACTCCTTCCTCTAGCTAGTTTTCACAGTCACTTCTTGTGTGTACAAAAGGGGAACGGACAGGGTCACCACACACAGATGTACATTGTGTACAGAAAAGATGAGTGGGGTAGAAACCCAAGCTGTGATCCCCGGGGCAAGGGTGCCTCCAGGACTCCACCTCAGAGAAGCCCTGAGCCTGAGGCTGCATCCTTCCTGGGGCCTAACCTTTTCCTGAACCACCTGTCCAGAGGGGGTGCTGCTTTCTAAGGCATACACAAGCTTTGAAAATAAAAATCTAGCTTGGACTCAGCTCAGTTTGACTTTTGAGAATGCTGCGTGGACACGTAGCCAACCTATGGGAGTAGGTTCCCGGATCCAAGCTGTTTGAAAATTTTGGTGAGAAGGCGGTCTCTGTTTTACTGTTTGAACTTCTGCTTTGTTAAGGTGTGGTTGGCTTTGTTTCTGTTGTGTTGTGATGTGTTTTCCTGTGGGGGTTGTTTTGTTAGAGGGAATCCTGGAAGTTAACATCGTCCAGATGACAGATGTCTTGATGCCAGTGCCACAGCCTGAAAACTCCCTGATGGACTTTGTCGTGACCTGCCAAGGGACGTGAGTACATTGTCTCAGGCGGAGGGATGGGTCAACGTAAGGACCCCAGGTCAGAGCAAAGGCCTTTACCACCACCATTCTCCCCTTCTGAAAAAAAAACTCCTTGCCATCAACTGAGTTCCAATAGAGTAGACCTGCCCCATAGAGTTTCCAAGGAACAGCTGGTGGATTTGAACTACTGACCTTTTGGTTTGCAGCTGTAGCTCTTAACCACTGTGCCTCCAGGGTTCCCTGCCATTCTAAGTGGATTTAAATTCCCAATTTGTCAGCAATACCTATCAACAAAGGACTTACAAAAGTGCCCACAGAGGTGCTAGCAAGCATGCACTTGTTTTGCTAGATTTGAGAAATAACCATTACCTTTAACTGTTAAGTTAAATAATAATTATCATACTTGCTTGAAAATTTGCTATGCTCTAAGCACTTTCCATTTGTGATCACTCTGAATCCTCACAACAGTCCTATGAGGGTCCTCATTTTACAGATGAGGCAACTGAGGCACACGGTGATTACAGAACTTGCCCACGGATAGAGCACGGGTCACAGGCCTGCCCTCTGGCTCAGAGCCCTACTCTGGAGCTCCCTGCAGACTCTCCTAAGTGGGCAGGAAACTGCTGTGGAGTTGTGTGCTAGTGTTAATACCAATACCTGAGAAATCTATCTCTCTTTATGATTTACAAAGCTCTTTCTAATGCACTGTATAATTTAATTTCATCATGACTATAATAAGGAGAGTCTGGGTGGTGCAAATGGTTAACACACTCAGCTGCTAACCAAAAGGTTGGAGGTTCAAGTCTACCCAGAGGCACCCCGGAAGAAAGGCCTGGTGATCTCCTTCCAAAAAATCAGCTATTGAAAACCCTATGGGGCACAGTTCTATCTAACACACATGGGATTGCCATGAGTCAGAATCAACTCGACAGCAACTGTATTTTTAATATATATAATAAATTAAATATAAATTAATATATAAATGATACTCCAATGGACTAATTAGGTATACTCAACCAATTAACTAATTTACATATAATATATAAATTAATGAAAATGTATGTGTGTGTGTATATATATATGTATATGTAAATCAAAATAATGGGACAGTACGAAAATGTGCCCTTTTTGGTAGAAAGGACTAGCTAAGCATTGCCTAGCCAGGGAGAGGAGCAGAATGAGGATGGCAGGAAATAGTGTTAAGCACTGACAATGACATGACTATGACTGAGGAGTTAAGCCACTGCCAGAGGTCAGGGCCTAGTGAGGAGAGAGACTGCTGTCACCCTAGACCCTCATCAGATCCAAATCTCAGCTTGCCTATCCATCCAGAAAATCTGTCTCGAACTGAAGTGGTGGCTAAGACAGTCATGCCATGGCCAGGTAACTTAGTGGTTACAAGGACAGTTGAATACAGCAATCTGTGTGTGAATCCCAGCTCCACTTCTAACTGAGAGTGTGACCTTGGACTAGTTACTTCTCCCCAAGCTGGTTTGTCACCTGTTAAACTGGGGTAATAAGACTTTCCTCATAAGGTCATTAAGAGGAATAAACAGGATCATGTAATCTATTTAAACCCAGTGCATAGCACATAGTAAATACTAAATAAACAGCTGTGGTTGCTGCTGTTTTCAGTACACTTCCCCAGGAGCCTAAGCAGGGCAGACTGGCATTTAATCATATCTTTGCCTAACGCCTACGAAGCCATCTTGGGGATTCTAGGGAGCCAGACTGTAGAGGGAATGACTTGAGCTTTGCACAGCTTCCAACAACTCCTTGGCTTGGGGGAGATAATTTCTTCCTTCTCCACCCTCAAGTCCTCACCTTCCTGAAAATACAGAGGAAACCGTAGCTCATCACCCAGGCTTGTTTAAGAATACATTTCATATGGCCAAGTGAATGTCGTATGGTTTGAGTAACAGTAAGGTGGAATCCAGTTTCATAGAAGTGTGATGGTTTTCCCTGTTTAAGCTGATATTCCATTCCCCTCTCACCTTCTGCACCATCCGTGCCCTCGTCTGCCCTCCCATGCCTCAGCAATCCCACAGAGGTCTGTACCATCATTTCGGACCCCACCTGCCAGCTCGCCCAGAACTCAGTCTGCGAGCCTGTGGATGTGGACAATAACTGCTTGCTGACAGTGAGAAGAGCCTTCAGGGGAACTGGCACGTACTGTCTGAACCTCACTCTGGCCGATGCTACAAGTCTGGGCCTTACAAGCACCCTCGTTTCCGTCCCTGTCCCTGGCAAAGGTGAGTTTGTTTAGGAGTTGTATGAGCATTTCATGTTGTAGGCAAAGTGTGTGTCCAATAGTAAGGTTATTTAGAGCTTTGCTGTCAATGTTTAATTTTATTTCACTATAAAACTCATGGAATTATTGTAAATAAGGATTTAATAACTGGCATTAAAATCAAACAGCAAATGTTCGTTGGGAAGTGATGAGAGAGAGACCCAGTGAAATAGTGGCCGAGGAAAAGCCTTTGATGAAAAATTGGCTGTAATCATGGACCAATATTAATGGAATATGATCACCGTGTCCTTGAATAGATTTGTATTTCACAGGGAGAGTGTAAAACTCAACATCAGAAAAAACCGCAATGTTCTGCAATTAAACTACAATAAAAGGGAGGCTGATGATAGGATAACTTACATAGTTTTCATGAGAATTCACCTAGGTAAAAGTATGAAGCCAAGAAGAGAAATGAGAAACCAAGTGGACTCCTGGCTCGTTCTAACTTGCCACGCGTCCTCTCTTTCCCCTTCGTAAATTCCACCTGGCGTTGCGCTGAGACAGTAACAGACCAACTTACCTAGTCCTCGGTTGTTCATCAGGAAATCAGCATTTGGCCCTCCTTATGCTTGACTATGACTGAGGTAAAATGTCAACAAAGCAAACTAAGGAATTTCATTCAAAAATTCACATTTACTGGTGACATTCAATTCCTCCCAACCCCCAAATTAGGGCTCTACCCGTTAGCCCTAACTGAATTTCAGTTATAACTGACTTTGTTGTAAGCTATTTCTTTACCTCTTAGAAGAAGTGCTACACGGTGGAAAGAAGGGAAAAGGTTAAATTGTGTACACATTGCACTGCTTATTTTTTTCCTTAATTTGAGTATTATCAGGTGCAGTTTAATGATTAATTTACTTATAACCACTTTGGACTTGGAGCTTATGGTATCTCACAAGGTAAAATGTACTTAAACATATATTTACCTATTAACCATATAAAAGGCAGCTTCAAAACTAGTGAGAGGAAATAAACTTGAGTAATACATAGAATTATTTGTATGCGGGCTTATTATTATTTTAAAAAATATTTTATTTTGTTTTTGGTGGAGGTTTACACAGCAGTCTAGGTTCCCATTCAACAATTTCTACACAAATCGTTCAGTGACATTGGTTACATTTTTTACAATGTGTGAACATTCTCATTATTTCCGTTCCGGTTGTTCCATTTCCATTAATCTAGTTTCCCTGCCCCTGTACATTCTCATCTTTGTTTTAAAGTAATTGTTGACCATTCGATCTCATATAGGTGATTTTTTAAAGGAGCATGGTACTTACAGGTGATATTCATTATTTTTTGAGCCAATGTATTCTTTAGCTACAAGGAGACCTGAGGGCTTATTTTTGGTAAAATCAAGGTACCGATTTTTAGAAGAAACAAAGGTGGAAGAGAAGAAGAGTTTTTGCTTCATGTAGGGTGGGATGAATTGGGGCATGGGGTGGAGAGCTGGGGAGGGCAGGGGCAGAGCGCGGCAGGTCAGAACCTCTGCATCTCAGTAAACGTGAAACTTCAAAGCAGTGACCTCCACGAGCTGCTGTGGTTGTCACTCCTCTGTGCTGCCACTGCCCAGAGATTTTTTAGAATTACCTTTAGAGTCATAGCTCATTCTGTGAAACTTTCTCAGTGCTGGAAAATTGCTCTTCTCTTGGCTGGATTAGATGTTTAGATATTTGCTTTCCTTTCAGTCTTCCTATAGTGAGTGATAACTTTATATGTGACCTAAGCCACTTTTATGAACCAAATAAGAAAGCTCAGAAGGAGAGCTGTTAATCCAGTGGGGATTGTAACTTGATAACTTTAGGCCAGCCCATTTAGGTTTTTTTTTGGAGTCCCTGAGGGGTGCAAATGATTAACATGCTCAGCTGCTAACCAAAAGTTGGAGGTTCAAGTCCTCTCAGAGACACCTTGGAAGAAAGACCTGGCAATCTACTTCCAAATTTCAGCCATTGAAAACCCTATGGAACACAGTCTAGTCTGGCATGCATGGGGTCGCCGTGAGTCAGAGTCACACAAAAGCAACTGGTTAGGCCACCATTAGGGTTTGGGCTTTATTCTATGCACAAAAGGGAGCTGTTGGCAGATTTTAAGCATGATCTGATTAATATTTTTCAAAGATCATGCTGACTGCTGATTGGAGAAGGTTTGTTGGAGGGAAAGAGTAGAAGCAAGTGGACTATTAAGAAGTCCTCTCGGGGGACAGATGTTGGTGGCTCAGACTTTGATGGTGGCAAAGGAGATGGAGAAGAACTAGATAGACTCTGGTTATACTTTGGTTGTAGACACTGGACTAGTTGATAGATTCTGGAGTAGTAGAATTCTAGTCTAGCGGGCTAGAACAATGTGTAAAGAAATCATTGCAGCACAATGTGATGAAGGCAAATGGCAGAGAGACAAGTGGAGTGTTGACACAAAGGGAGGCGTGACCCTCTGTACTCATAAATGTCCGGAAAGGTGTCACGAACAGGTGGACACTTGAAGGAAGCCAGGGGAAGGGCATTCCTGACAGGCAGAGAGATGGAAGTGTGAAAGAGTGTGATAAGTATGGGCTGCTCCAAAGATTTTTAGCATGGCTGGAAGGTAGATGGGGAGAGTGAGAGATGAGGGCAGAGGAGGGAGCAGGTGGATCACAGAGCCCCTCACCACATGGGCACTGCTGGGTCAGCCGAGACCTGAGCAGGCATCTCCAGGACGTGCCATGTCTCTCCCTGGGCCCCTAACACAATGTTCTGGACGTGCTAACTCATTCTCTAAATGGAAGATAAGCTGGCCCAAAGACTATGTACTATTTAATGGAAAAGATTACTGAAAGCACACAGGGATCCATGTATCTTCTGAGATAGCTCCTTTCCTTGTTTATTTAATTGCATTACAAGCAACACATCCTCTGGGTGGAAGAGGTAACTAATATGGTCTTGCTTCTGTTTTAAGACCCAGCGTTCCCTTTAAGAGTGGTAAATGGGGCCCTGATCTCTGTCAGCTGCTTGGTGATACTTGTCATTGTGGTCACCCTCATGGTGTACAGGTAAGTTTCTGATTCTAGTATTTTAAATTACTTTCATGTACTGTCATAAATAGATAGCACATTTCTGCACAGATATGCCATTTTCCTTTTGTGTTTTTTTTTTTTTTTTTTTTGCTTTTAAGCATTTTGTGTGTGAGAGGACACTCTTCTATTGAATGATGAATACCAAACCAGCCTATTAATTTTGCTGTGTGTTTTTTTTTTTTAAATCTTAAAAATACTATCAGACGGCAGTAACTTTACAAAATTGTGTCTACATGATGTTTAATATCTGTATGACTTTATAGTAAGCAGGTACATTTCTTGCATGAAGAACAGAAAATACTTTCATAAGTCCCATGTCTTATAAACCGTAGATTAAGTTAAATGGAATTAACCCTTTGTGTACTTGGCGTGTAAATGTTGTGAAAAGCAACATACTCCAGCTGAAGATCTTTTCATAACCGCCCAACTCCTTGCTTTCAGAAAACACAAAGAATACAAACCAGTAGACTACAGTCCTGGGAAAGTGGCCAAAGGCAAAGTCCTGAATGCTCTCTTCAACCAGGCAAAGGCCACGTTCTTCCGCGGAAGCCAGGAGAAGGATCCGCTGCTCAAGAACCAGCAGGGAATTGTTTAAACCTTCAGCCTTGTCTCTGACCAGCAGCACACTCTCAGTGTCGATTATGTGGGCCGTGCTGGAGGGGATGACTAAGGATTATAGTAAAATATATATTGTGACTTAGGGAGGTCTAATTCTTTTTGTAGGTTTGAAGAACAATTTAACATTTGATAGGTTTAGAGACATTTTAAAGAAGTAGAGAGGAATTATACTGCACGCACACAGCCTCAGCTGTGTTAGGTAACCGATAGAATCACTGAGCAGTGCTTCCTTTCATTTTTCTTTAGGTTTTATTATAATGTCTCGAGTGTTTAGTAGGATAGACATACTGTGTCCCAGGAGTAGGGGAGAAGGTACTATTCATTAAGGGTCTGACCTAGCTTAACTGGAAAGGGGCCAGACACTTTCTAGCTTGCCATATAACCATATGCATAAAATCACTGTATTCCTGTCCACAACATCATGTTCCAAGCTAAATGAGTCCTATTTCCGTGAACATGCATAAGCTTCCGTTGACAGACCCAGACTTTTTGTGTGATGTACACACTTGTTATATCAGGGGGGAAAAGCAAAAAAACTAATCAACTAATCTAACAAATAGGCGTGACTATTTTGGTTACAACCTGTCCTGCCCGGCTGTGTGAAGGAATGGTATTCATTCAATCATTTATTCCTTGGACAATTATTTAGCACTTTCTATATACCAGGCACTGTGCTAGATACCTGGTCCCTGTCTTCTAGAGAGTTGACACTCTTATGTACATCTCTGAATTTCTGCACATTCTGGTGTACATATTTGAAATCCTACACTATGGTTTTCCAAAAGAGGAGGCCCTTGGTTTTCATACCAGTTTCTCTATTTGAATAATATAGAAATTTAATCAGAAGGGTTTTTACCTTAATTTGTAACTAAAACAATCTACCATATATCAAAGATGACATTCTTTCTCTCTCCTTTCTAAAAAATAAAGTATAGAAAAAGACAAGACTTTGGTACTGTAATTATTTTTCAAGTTTGTTTGCTTTTCCATTTTATTTATAGTTTTTGACACATTAAAAGTTGTATAATGCCACCCCATAGAGCATTGATAATGTCGTATTTTATATTTAAAAATGTATGTATACAGTATGTGGCACTTCATTAAAAAAGTTTAACGTGTAAATGTATGTAATCAGACCAATCTAAAATAAGAGATATTCTATGAGAAACTTTTATGGACTCTTCAAACAGCCAATATTATATTAAAAGTAAAAGTAGAGGAATTATTCTAGACAGGGATTGGTCAAGTTGTTCTAGAAAGGGCCAGATAGTAAATGTTTTATGTTTTAGGGGCCATGTAGTCTCTGTCACAAATACTAACTCTGTCGTTGTAGCACAAAAGCAGCCACAGACAATACATAAATGAAAGAGCAGGCTGGGTTCCAGTATAACTGTATTTACGAAACAGGGGAGAGTCAGAAATGGCCCATGGGCTGTGGTTTGCCAATGCCTGTTCTAGACTAAAAGAGTCTAAACAGACATAGCAACCAAATGCAATTTGGAAATCTAGATTGGATCCTGGCTTGAAAGAAAAAAAACAAACAGCTATGAAAGATATTCTTAGAACAACTGGGAGAATTTAAATATGTACTGGATACCAGATGATATTATAGAATTTTTAATTTTCTTTTATGTATTTTATTGTGCTTTAGGTGAAGGTTTACAGTGCAAACTAGTTTCTCATTACACAATTAATACACATATTGTTTTGTGACATTGGTTGCCAACCCCACGACATGTCAACACTCTCCCCTTCTCGACTTTGGGTTCCCCATTACCAGCTTTCCTGTCCCCTCCTGTCTTCTCATCCTTCCTCCTGGGTTGGTGTGCCCATTTAGTCTTGTTTTGTTTTATGGGCCTGTCTATTCTTTGGATGAAGGGTGAACAGGAGTGACTTCAGTACTGAGTTAAAAGGGTGTCCAGTAGCCATACTCTCGGGGCTTCACCAGTCTCTGTCAGGTCAGTAAGTCTTGTCTTTACTTTGTGAGTTAGAATTTTGTTCTACATTTGTCTCCAGCTCTGTCTGGGATCCTCTATGGTGATCCCTGTCGGAGCAGTCATTGGTGGTAGCCGGGCACCATCTAGTTGTGCTGGACTCAGTCTGGTGGAGGCTGTGGTAGTTGTGGTCCATTAGTCCTTTCGACTAATCTTTCCCTTGTGTCTTTGGTTTTCTTCATTCTCCCTTGCTCCCAACGGGGTGAGACCAGTGGAGTATCTTAGGTGGCTGCTCACAGGCTTTTAAGACCCCGGACACTACTCACCAAAGTAGGATGTAGAACATTTTGTTTATAAACTATGTTCTGCCAATTGAGCTAGATGTCCCCCAAGACCATGGTCCCCAGCCCTTAGCCCAGTAATTTGGTCCCTCAGGGAGTTTGGATGTGTCTATGAAGCTTCCATGACCTTGCCTTGGTCAAATTGTGCTGACTTCCCCAGTATTGTGTACTGTTTTACCCTTCACCAAAGTTACCACTTATCTACTGTCTATTTAGCGTTTTTCCCTCCCCACCCCTCTCCTCCCTCATAACCATCAAAGATTCTTTTTCTGTGTAAACCTTTTCATGAGTTTTTATAGTAGTGGTCTCATACAATATTTGTCCTTTTGTGATTGACTTATTTCACTCAGCATGATGCCCTCCAGATTCATCCATGTTGTGAGATGCTTCCCAGATTTGTCATTGTTCTTTATCATTGCATAGTATTCCATTGTGTGGATGTACCATAGTTTGTTTATCCATTCATCTGTTAATGGGCACTTGGGTTGTTTCCATCTTTTTGCTATTGTGAATAATGCTGCAGTGAACATGGGTGTGCATATGTCTGTTTGTGTGACGGCTCTTATATCTCTAGGATATATTCCTAGGAGTATGAATGCTGGATGGTATGATATTTCTATTTCTAGCTTCCTAAGGAAGTGCCATATCATTTTCCAAAATGGTTGTACCATTTTACATTCCCACCAGCAGTGCATAAGAGTTCTAGTCTCCCTGCAGCCTCTTCAACGTTTGTTATTTTCTTTCTGATTCATGCCAGTAATGCTGGGGTGAGATGGTATCTCATTGTAGTTTTGATTTGCATTTCTCTAATGGCTAGTGATTGCAAGCACTCATGTGTCTTTTAGCTGCCTGAATGTCTTCTTTGGTGAAGTGTCTGTTCATATCCTTTGCCCATTTTTTAATTGGATTAGAATTGTTAATTTTATTAAGGGGTGGTAAAGGTATTGTGGAGACCAGCACTTAGTCTAGTTCCTTCACTTCCTAGATGGCCTAGAGGCTGAAAAGAAGCTGTTTGTTCTGAAATCATCTCCAAAGAGTACCTAACTTGAAGAAGGTGAATTGTGATATTTCTCCCCATTTATGTAATCACTGTAGTGCAGTGATTCTCAACTGGGGACAATTTTGTACCCCTTCCATCCCCTCCCCCAAGAGAACATAGGAATGTTTGGAGACTTTTTGGTTGTTACAACTGGGAGTGGGATGCTACCGGCATCTAGTAGGTAAAGGTCAGGGATGCTGATAAACATCCTACAATGCACAAGACAGCCCCCTGCAACCAAGAATTATCTGGCCTGAGGTGTCAGAAACCATGCTGTAGAGTAATTGAAGAGGCTCTGGGCTTGGATGTAAAGCTAGAAGCACTTGGATTTCAATCCAGCCCTGCCACTTAAAGCTGAGTAACCTTGGGCAAGTCATTTAACCTTTCTTGAGCCTCAATCTCCCATCTATAAAATGGGTATAGTAGTCCTTCCCTAACCTACCTCACAGGGCTGCTACAAACCCATCTGAAAGAATGAATTAGTAGTTTCAACAAGTTCCCAGGTGATGCTGATAAATGAGCTGATCCAGTAAACACTGATTTTGAGATTCACTCTTCCCTTCTCATATCAACAGAGGGTAGCAGACAGCAGCAAATACAAAGTCAATCAACAAGAAAGCAGGTTAAAGTCTTTATCAAATCCCACTCAATTTTTCAACCTAACAAATGGCAGGGGAGAGGGCTGAAATAGTGAATTATTTAGATACATTCTCCAGGTGACCTTGGCAACGAGTCATTTAACTTCTGCTGAATCTTTATCTGTAAAATAGAGAAAATAACCAGTAAGATGGTAGGATGTCTTGATTAATGTTTGCTGAGAATTAGAATTTCCAAAGAAAATTAAAGTGTGTAAATAATTATTCTGGTAATTTCTTACTCCTAGAACTTTTTATAAATATCTGCATTTTAAATACTTCTGACTCATTCATAAACGTTTGTTGCCCTTGTTGAATTTTCAATTGTTTAACAGCTTGAGGGCAATACTTTCAATGCATTAATTATTTCCAGAAAGTATAGCAGCTCCAAACCCAGGTGGCAGGGCAGATAGGAAGATAGCCATGCAGGAGGCAGCCACCTTCTGATGGGGCTTCTGTTGGGGGAAATCCATTAAGGTTGTTCCATTTGTTCATTCTCCAAGGAGAAAGTTCAGAGGATGATCCCAAAGCTACTAGAATAGGTACGCTACAAATTCATAGGTCAGCTCCAAGGAATTACCCCTTGCAGGCTGATTTTGATTATTCACCATTTACTGAGTACCAGTATGTCCCAAGCTGTGTTCTAAGCAGGGACACAGCAGCAAACAGAGAGACAAGGACTGTGTCTCATGGATCTTGGATTCTAGACTAATGCAACACATGACCACACAAGTGTTCACTGTGGTGACCATTTTCAGTTCCTCAGGCTAACAAGAGAGTGTTAACCTCTGGCTTCGAGTCCCCTATCCTGACCAACCCCACTGGCCTCAGCTTAACCTGCAGAGGAAATTTCTCTGCTTCTTCTAACTGAATTGCCATTCCTTGTGTCCTCAAAATTCTGGGATAAATTTGCTTTGGAGATCTTCCATAGGCTTTTTGGGTTTTGGTAACAGTGATGGTTACGGTTGTGTGTCAACTTGGCTGGACCATGATTCTCAGTGATTGGCAGTTATGATGTAGTTTGGCAG